TACCTGTTTTCCAGGCAATCGTTTCATCGCCGCTATTCAGAACGAGTGCGGGTCGACATGTTTCGTCAGCCGTTGTTATTTCCTTTTCGACAATGTCTACATTTTTACTTAACCTAATTTGTAGTTTCAGTGGTTGTGTTTGTTTATTAGTTTACCTACCTTTCCGCTGCCTTCATTTTGGTATTGATTTTGGTGTTAATCAATAATATTCCACGTAATATCTCAATTTTCTATTCTTTAGCATGTTACTTAGATTGCAAGGGTTCATCATACACCAGTGACCATTCGCATCGTTTCAATAACTAGGGGCGGTGGGGTAGCCTAGTGGTTAAAGAGTTCGATCGTCACGCCGAAGACCGGGTTCGATTCCCCACATGGGTACAATGTGTGAAGCCCATTTCTGGTGTCCCCCGCTGTGATATTGTTGGAATATTGCTAAAAGCGGCGTAAAACCAAACTCACTCACTCACTCACTCACTTCAATAACTATCTATCGCTGTTGTATAATTGTTCCGAACTGTAATATATTCTGTCCAAGCTTATCATTATTAATATGATATACATATATATAACAGTAATATAACTAAAGAGCATTCATTATCACATACCATATAGGTCGCCCTATTCGTTTAGGGTTTTCACAGTGGAATATGTTAAAATCAAACCAAGCTGTCGAACTCGCCTCCCAATTTTACCTAGCTCATTTACCGGACGCGATTGATCATGCTGAAGTAACACTGTAGTTAGCTGTGACCTACTTATTGTAAACACTATATTACAACCACTAATGGTTTGAATCGTCCTATTTCTATTTCTCAGACGAAGTGAACCAATCCAATTGTGACAATTATAGTACAACCCTGAATTGAAATTATCTGAGCTATGAAACATATTTATTAACATATGTCAAGAGAAAATATCCAGTTTTGCAAAGCTGAAGGAACTGTTTGCTTGTCGACCTGTACGTCTAAAGTTTAGTTATATTTGTTGCGACCTGAGGATATGAAACTGCCCAGGTTATTTTTCGGATTCCAAACACTAGCTGTATAATTAAATCAAACCAAACAGTTCTATGACATTCGTTGCGATGTTTGTAACAACAAGGTCTTTGAAGGCACTTGGCTGTGTACAATATTCACACAAACAGCAGTTTTAAAAGTAGATCACGTAGGCGTGGAAAGTATAGGGACTTCAGCTGGTGCTTATAGATACCGGCTGCAGGCGACATACGTCGACGAGCTATGCACCTGTTCATTAACCTATTCAAGAAAACCTATACAAATGTCACAAATGACAGTTGGTTCGATAACTTGTGTTTCAACTGCACTTTCTCAGTAAAGTATAGATTCCAGTACTTTTTTGGATTGAGTCCCATCCTGGATTCGAACCCACGCTCTCAGAGTGAGGCACTTAATCTCCAGCACATACATTCAGCGATCTAACCCACTCAGCCATCGCAGCTGAAAGATCGTTATTGCCAGACAACGTAAGCATGGTGCTCTTGTCTAGTTAAACTTAAGGGTTTTCCCTTGATTGTTGAACGCACCAGGGTTCCTTGCATTGTATTACCTGCGATCAATTGTCTTTGCTTGGATATATTCCACGGAAACAGCGGCGGGTCAATGATGCCTTCAGCATTCGGGGTTTGCGTGGGGTACTATTGTTGCAACAGAAAATCACCTAAATAGTAGGTGGAAACGCAGATCTGTTTGCCCGATTCTGTTCAATCGGATCATTCAACGGCACGGCATACTGGGTACTACTGGGTCAAACCGAATGGTTCTTGTCTCAACAATCCTGTTTTGATTCGTTTTTTTAATATTTAAAAATTAAATACACTTACCGTGAACGCTATTCAAAAGTGAAAGAAGCCGACACCCATGTGAGAATAATTAAACGTGCAAAAGCCTGTTCGCAAGGATTTAATGCCTTTTATACGTTCAACATGACTATGCATTTAGCTCGATTTTGATCACACACGATTTACTCCTCGAAATATGAAAATAATTGTCCTTGAACTTTTCAGAATAATGTTTAAAATGTTTCGATTCACCGAAGGAGAAAATGACATGCCGACGGTCTTTCAACATACATAAACAACGCGTGACTGTTTGCATACACACGAATATATACGGGTGCAATCTGGTTCAAGCTGGAAATCTTGACGTAAAGTCTTGCACGACTCGTTCGCGGAGAGCCGCAACAATCACTCGGGAGGTCTCGGCCAATTCCGCTACCTACATCATGCCTCGGGCAGAACTGGAGTATTGATATTACATTGTATGTAAATTCGCTGAATAACGGCTTCTGTCAGATACTGCCGCGCAGAGTAGGTGCAGCTGGGCGAGAATATATCGTATGACGAACAGAGATAAATTGTACAGTCTATTGCAGAGACAAAAAATATACAACATATGTCTCGCTCAGCATAAACGTGAACGCAATGACCGATGTGTTTGGTCTCTGGTAAACTGGCCACTGTCTGAATCTGTTCTATCACGTGACAGTCACGTGAACAGACTGATTCCAATACCGCTTGCCTCAAGCACTGACCGAGAACACCTACGACGTGGCCCGAGCGCCATCATCGAAACATCATTAAACACAACAGTCGGAATTCACGTCCAGGGGTCCAAATTTATTTCGAAATTTGTTTACAAACATGGCAGCTGAAATACACCCATATGTTGCTACGCCATTTCAACGACCACAACAATTCGATTATTTGTATATCATTATTTGTGTGAGAGTGTGTTTGCAAGGGAGAGAATGTGTGTGAGAGAGATGTTTATTAGAGACCATACACACATCGGTCTCTGCGTTCACGTATATGCTGAACTAGATACATTTTGTATTCTGCTATAGACTGTACAATCTATCATGTGACAGTCACGTGAACGGACTGATTCCAATATGGCTTGCTTCAAGCGCTCACCGAGAACACATACGTGTCCCGAGCGCCATTTGCATACAGGAACCGCTGCTATATTCCGAATTATGTATCTGCAAGCATGCATGCAACGCAACAGACTCTCTCTAATTCTAGTAAAAAAGTAAGTGAGTTTTGGTTTTATGCCGCTTTTAGCAATATTCCAGCAATATCACGGCGGGGGACACCAGAAATGGACTTCCCACACCGTACCCATGTGGAGGTATCGAACCCGGGTCTTCGGCGTGATGAACGAACGCTTCAACCACTAGGCTATCCCACCGCCCCTGTCAAAAAAGTAAATTCAGTTATTTAGACACGAACACCTTCAAGGAGAAACTACTCACACCTCTGCTTCACAAAGCGACCGTAGCGCAACGATTGTCTTAAGACTGTCAAAGTAGAGTAGTTACGTTCACCTTAGCGCTACGGTCCACCGACTGAAACGGTGTGCTAATTTTCAGTAATTAAAATGTTTAATTATTAAATTTAAAAACAAACAATGAACACTTCGTCAACTCTTCGTGTCTCAACACAGTTTTAAGCGGTGAGACATTCTTTGTTTACGGATTCCATCAACCATCGAGTCTGGACTAGACAGTTAAGCGACTGACATCATGAGCATCGATGTACGCAAATTGGATACGATGCCATGTGTCAACCAAGTCAGCCAGCCTGACAACCCGATCGCATTAGTCGCATCTTATCATACGCATCGGTTGCTGAAACCAGTCCTAACCTTGATGTTCAGGGTGTGGATTTAGCGGTAGAGTGTTCGAAGGTTTCCAGTTCTGTACATTTGACTATGGTAGCTTTGTGGAACCGGGCCTTGGTTCTGTTTGAAGCATGCGTTCGTCTATGCGTTTACATAACGCTAAATACCAAGGACATTATATCACCGTTTTCAGTCTGATTCGAAATTCTATATATAGCCGTCCAATCACATTACACACACGAGTGCGGGATCATCGGTGCTAAGTTGCTAATACCATTACGTCACTTCCTAAAGGAAACTATTCTACCTTTTGGAATCTGTTTCGCGGAGTGAATGGATTGGTTGTTCTCTGACGTTAACATTTATTTACTTGGTAGCGAATGGGCCATGAGTATTTTTTTACCAAAAGATACTGGGTGATCGAGGTTGTACCCTCAAAAGATACTGGGTAATCGAGGTTGGACCTCAACCCGTTTTCGTGACATGTCAGACGTTCATTAAATTCAGTTATGTACACACTGGATATTGAAGCAAAGATTCAACATATTTTACTCCTGAATCACTCTTTGGTATATAATTTGTCAAAAAGAGTTTGGTTAAATCTGATGTATCAATCCATCATTACACGTGAGCTTTGGAGTGAATGCTGTGAATCATCAAAACATGGATTCAAGTGACTCGCTCCTAAAGTAACAAAAACGAATTCAGAATTCAATATCAAATCTGATTTTACAACTAGTTAATTTTCTGTAGACTGTATGACAATATTACTGTAATAAACAGGACAACTGTAAACAATCAAGAAGGTAAACACGTTCCTTTGAAGTATTTGTAAACAGCTCGTGAGGGCTCGCAGAAAACACAGAGCGGATACTCCATCAACGATTTTCTATGACAACCGCGAAAACAACAACGTCGTGAAAAGCTAACTTCAACCACACATCACAACACGGAAATAAATCATGTACGTATTGTTGAACATTAAAACAGCTTTAATAGGCCTAAATTAACGCATTTGAAAAAACTTCGTGTTACATCATTGTTGATGAGAACTGAAAAAAATGTGACTGAAAAAGTTCTAGCTGCTTATGATAAAACATCAGCCTAAGGTTTATTAATAGGATACAAATATTTCCTTTCGAAAACGAGGAAATCCTACGTTGAGAAATATGTCAAATCTGGTTCTGTCCAGTTCGCTCGAGCCTCGGCCTGTGCGAACAACAGCGCGTGCAGCAAACTATTGATTGACAGCCAAAACGGTGAAATCCGCATTTGTCACTCCTAGTTGAAACACATGTAGGTAATAGCATGAATGAAAAACATAAATTTGAACAAATTTAAGTGGATTTCTCTTACCTTTACCCGTGAAAGGATTGCGCAGATGGCTTTACGGAATACTCAACACGGTTCGCTCAGCGTTCAGCGTCGGTAGTTACCCCAACTGTAAACAACAGCTGATCAGCGTGGCAAGGCTTCTATGGCTGGTCGTGGTATACACTGCCAACTGCCAAGATTTTCTTTGAGACAAAGGGACCTTTGACCATAAGCGATAACAGTGTCGTTCGTCTCATCGGGGCACAGTGTGGAAAATGAACGAATTCAGCTTGCACAACGAACTAGTATGATGCGTCAGTCTTGACATGTCACATGACCAAATAACACAATAATGATCCTGACGCGCGGCTGTGTGTGCGAGAGCGAGCGAGGGAAAACGCGATCTCAGCTGACTGGTTAGAGCAAGGCTGCGCATTACACGTGCGTGAGGACGATAGCATCTGTGAACATGAGAAATATCCGTGATCGCACTCACAACTTGTTATACAAGGGAGCGCTTTTAATTAAAATCTTTGGTGTAGATGATATACATATTTACGTGGTTTAATGACTGTGTGGCAATTGTTCAGTTTTCAATAGAGTAATCATAAGTTTTGGATGATATGCCTCAACTAATTGATTTGCGTTGTTTCGGTGTTTTTTGTTTGTGTTTTTATTTTCTGTTGTTTTTTTATTGCTGGGGGTAGAATGAGTGGGTGAGTTTGGTTTTTCGCCCCGTTTAGCACAATTCTAGCAATATCACGGCGAGTGATACCCTAAATGGGCTTCACACATTGCAAAGACACGTATTAAGTAAGACACGTATTAAGACACGTATTAAGTAAGACACGTATTGCTGTGTTGTACAGTAGTGAGTGAGTATGCTTTTAGGCCGCTTTTAGAAATATTCCAGGGCCTCGTTTCACAAAGCTCTCGTAAGCCTAAGGTCTCGTAACTTTTCTCGTAGCATTCATATCTCCTATACTATAACATAGGAGGTACGAATGCTACGAGAAAAGTTACGAGACCTTAGGCTTACGAGAGCTTTGTGAAACGTGGCCCTGGCTTCCAGCAACATCACGACGGGGGACACCAGAAATGGACTTCACACATTGTACACATGTTGGGAATCGAACCCGGGCCTACGGCGTGACGAGCGGACGCTTTAACGACTAGGCTACCCCACCGCCCCGTGTTGTACAATAGAAAGGTATTACCTCAAAACGATATAACCCTTTATAATGCGGGCATACATCTGTGCATTTCCCAACAGTTGCCCCCTAAGCTCATCATTAAGAACTCAATATTTTTCATCATCAGCCATTCATGTAAAAACAGGGTAGTCTAGTGGTTAAAGCGTTAACTCGTCACGCCTAAAACCCGGGTTCGATTCCCCACATGGGTGCTATGTGTGAAGCCCATTTCTGGTATCCCCCACCATGATATTGCTAGAATAGTGCTAAAAGCGGCGTAAAACTGAACTCACTCATTCTACCCCCAGCAATAACAAAACAATAGTGATAGTGCGCGATTATTGCTAAAACCCTGCTCACGATCATGGGTTCGAATCCCGGTCACCTCGATAATGTTGCTAGATTTGGATGTTGGATTTCACCAAAGCGGTGAGCGTCTGAGACCTGCAGTATTTTCTTCCAAAACAGAATAAAACGAAAGCCAGAGACAATCTTTCAGATCTGCTGTAACCAAGACAACCATGTCCGACTTGCATGGGATGAATATTTGTTTCAGTATCAAGGTGACAAATTATAGCAGTATCATGACACCTGCTCTATATTCTATATTATTCATACATGTATATCATATCATACATACAAACGTGGACTGAATGCCAAGTTGGAAATAACTAGTCTATAACTGGCGATGTTCAAATATTATGTTAACTAAGGTAACAGAATATTGTGTGATATAGTTGTTAGGAATGTAGCATTTGATTTGTCACTTCAACTTGTTTTTTATCTTTAATAGATGAAGTATTAGTTTGTATGTGCTTGGATTAAGCGTCCAAGCAGTTGGTCCAATTACGTAAAGGATTTGACTAACATTTAGTCTCTGAAGTGAACATATTTTTACAAAAAGAAACGATTACTAAATTATACTCATAAAATATAATGAAAAGCTGCTCAGACACTTTCTTCATTTTCAGAATGGTGGAAATTTCGACTTGCCACATATTGTAGATTTGCATGGGCTTTCTTGGATATATTTGCTTCAGGGTCTGTATGACAGACTAGTAGAGGGTGGACGGGTTATTACATTCCTTTCTCAAACACTCCTTCTCCTCAATACAGTTTGTGTTCAGCTTCCAAGTTCTTTAACAATGAATAACAGCCTTCTCCGTTATACTTACGCTTAGTCCCTGAATATATATAATTTTGAACAAATAACTCCTTTCAAATTAAAAAGGAGTCCCAGTTAGATAGGAGATGAACCGGAGGAAAGCTAGACTTGCTTCATTTAGGATTGGGTATTGAAATTGGGTATTGCGGAAGTGAAATAATGCGGTTGAAGGACAGTGAAACACATTACTTTCTTCGCTAGCATGTGCTCACTTTTGAGTCACACTGCCTTCAAATTGTATTTACCTAAATAGAATGCTAATGTTCTATTAAATATGCTATGCTATAAATAATTACAGCATTGCAAATGTTTATCGAGTATATCAAATGGCCAGTAAACCTATTCTATCAGTATGAAGTGTATAAAACATACGTATGTGTCAGAGCCTGATTTGATTGGTAGTTTTGAAATTAAGGCTGGATATGAAGTTGCTTTTCTATAATGTAACGGGGCCGATGGTGTAGTCCAATGGTTAAGGCGTTCGCTCGTCACGCCGACAACAAGGGGTTCGATTCCCAACATGGATACAATGTGTGAAGCCTATTTCTGGTGTCCTCATCCGTGATATTGCTTGAATATTGCTGAAAGCGACGGAAAACTCACTCACTCACTATAACGTAACGTAGCTGTCACCATCATTATTGGGAATATATATACGTATGCAGGATAGTTATGTGTTGTATTTTCCTTTATAGGAAAGCCAAGCCAATACTTATAATGTGGGTTACAGGCGGACCCCGGGTCATCCAATGGGTTGTGTATTCACCCACAAAATATGTATACATGTATACTAAACTGACGCACAAAAGAAAGTACACACCCGGTGCTTTTGGATTACTTTCCGAAAAGCGACGTAAATGTTTTGAAAAGAGTTTTTACAGTGATATCTAGGTCACATACTTTCCTAATATGTTGCCAAAACACCACAGATATCGTGCCCAATTGCGAAGTTGCCAGTCAAAATCACAACACTTTTCCCAAAACACCAGATGTGTACTTTCCTTTCATCGTCAGTTTAGGTGTAAACCCATACCGCCTAATTTGTATCTATTACGCAGGGGTAGGCCAGTAGGTGGTATGGGTTTGCCATGGTTGGTTAATTAAAGAAAATCAGGTGACTGTATAGCAATGACTAGCGGTATTGGCGCCATGTATTTATACATGTCATTATGTCCTTCTCAATGTAAGGTCTCCTTCTCAAGTATTTTTTTTCTGTTTTTATAAAAATATATTTCAAATCTTAACCTATAGTTAGTTAATAGTAGAAGCTTCCTTCTCAAGTATTTATCCTTTTTATCATAAAAATCTCACAATGAAGTTACTTAATTGGGTGTTGTTTTAAGCAGCCGATGTCTAACAACACTCCTCTAGGTTAAATAAGACTACTCCAGTGAGACGTCATGCTTCAGTGATTGCAGTGAGTGAGTGAGTTTAGTTTTACGCCGCACTCAGCAATATTCCAGCTAATTGGCGGCGGTCTGTAAATAATCGAGTCTCGACCAGACACTCCAGTGATCAACAGCATGACCATCGATCTGCGCAATTGGGAACCGATGACATGTGTCAACCAAGTCAGCGAACCTGACCACCCGATCCCGTTAGTCGCCTCTTACGACAAGCATGGGTTACTAAAGGTTCATTCTAATCCGGACCTTCACGGGTTCAGTGATTGCAATTCGTAGGTGATCTGGGTACTCAGATAATTAGACAGTATAAGTATTTATTACTGTAAACATTAGGCGGTATGGGTATACTCCATATACAACTATCACCTACTTATCACTTATAATTATTAATGTATTTAACATGAAATTCAGATTACACACTTATCATATAAGTTGATCATTTATCTAATACATGTTATAATGTAAAACAATTATGTATCGTTTAATATATTTTCCTATTCCAATTAAATTACTGAGCAATATACTGCATAGTTACCATATTTCACTTGCAACAATTAACAGTACAAAACTACAAAACGTCTTAATGCATATGCAACCTACCAACACCAAACCTTTGGACTACTTTCGCAAACGTTTCGCACTGATTTATCTTTCAGCCCAAAGCACACAAAGTTCACAAAATGTAACCCTTTTACATACGTTTCATTTGCACCTTCCCAAGCAAAGTCAGAAATTTGGTCTCTGCTTATGCAACGTTATCAGTAGGGCCCAGCCCAGCCCATGTCTTTAAGCAACTTTATCAGTGTAAACGAAACCGGATTTAAAGTGCACTTGTTTACCTCTGGCCAGATGAACGTTTGCGATACCCGTCACTCCCGTAGAAGTCACGTGTATACTTTATTCCTGATTTCAAGTACAGGGGTTAGTTAATTCCGTTATGAACTCGTTACTGAAAATATATGTTGCCATAGTTACCAGTCTGTGGTTTGTCCGAAAGGAAAAATCATCTCGTCTAAAAGTTATCAAAATGTCTCAAAGACTTTTAATACATAGAGTATGTATCACCAGCACTGTCGTCATCAACACGTGTCTTTCTGAGCATATGAGCTAGGATTAACAGACTGATATGAAGTGCGTGGGTTGTGATTGGTTGACTGGCAAAATGTGTGTGAGTTGTAATTGGTTGACGAGTTTTGTGCATGTGAGTTGTGATTGGCTGACGAGTTTGTGTATGTGAGTTGTGATTGGTTGGCTAGAACAATACATGTGAGTTGTAATTGGTTGACGAGATTTGTGCATGTGAGTGTAATTGGTTGACGAGTTTTTGTGTATGTGTGTTGTGATTGGTTGACAAGTTTTGTGTATGTGAGTTGTAATTGGTTGACGTGTTTTTGTGTATGTGAGTTGTGATTGGTTGACGAGTTTCGTGTTTGTGAGTTGTAATTGGTTGACGAGTTTTGGGTATGCGAGTTGTGATTGGTTGACGAGTTTTGGGTATGCGAGTTGTGATTGGTTGACGAGTATAATGTATGTAAGTTGTGATTCGCTGACAAGCATAATTTATGACACTAAAATAAGAACA